CTGCTCGAGAAAGGTTGGCCGGATCCGGGGCAGCCGCCGCTTGGCCAGCCCGAGAAAGACGGCGCCGCTGCCGCCCTTGCCGGTGTACGTCCTCACGACGCCGAAGGTCGTCTCGGGCAGCACGAGAGCGGCATTCTCGCCGAGCAGTGACATGTAGCCGACCCGCCACTGCGTTCCCGTGATCTGGCCGCCGAACTCCTCCTCCGTGTCGTCGAGGCCGCTTGCGCGCCCCGCACCGCGATAGCAGCCCCACTCGGACGCCTCGGTGCAGGTCCCGTCGACAAGAAGGAAGGGCGAGCCGGTGTCAACGATGGCGCGGAATGGCTGCCCGTCGAGAGTATACCGCACGCAGTACGCGCCACCGCAGAGCGTGAGCGGCACCATGACGGGACGGGCCGACGCCGCGACCGCAGCTGCTGCCGGTGGCGGCGGAGGAGCGAGCGGCGAGAGCGAGAGGAGGGCGACCGCTGCGCCGCGGAGCAGCGGGAGGCGCGTGAGGCGCATCCGGCAGTCGGAGCGAGCTTGCTCGCGGCAATAAATAAATAAACAAGCAAATCCCAAGCTAGGGCTGGCTGCAGTATCGAGTATCGAGTGTTTTTGTTTTTCGGAAAAGAAAAAGCCGGCAAAGCTCGGATTTCTGACCACTGCTTCCTCGCTGCTGGCTTGCACGGCTCGCTTGCCATGGCCCTGCTTCTGCTCGTCTACGGCCGCCCGTCCCACGCCGTGCTTCGAGTGGCGGCGCCTGGGCGCGCGCTCTCGCCTCTGGCCTGCGCGTCGGCGCCGCCGCCGCTCGCAGAGAAGCAATGCTGGCGTCCGACTATCGATGATGTTGACCGCATATCATGGGGCCGGCCGGCAAAGAGAAAGGGCACTGGCTCACGCGGCCAGCCGCACCGACTCAACGACGCGGAGCGCACGCTCTACGACCTCGCACGATCAAAGGGCTTTGTGGAAGTCGCCGGCTCGGGCTGGCGTTCGCAGCGCGCCGATGCGCCCCTCGTCAACACGTTTCGCTCGTGGTGCGACGCTCGCGGCGTGGCCGCCATCTTCCTGCACAAGGGCAGCGACGTCGACCAGGTTGTCCTCGACCTGTCGCCGCTGCGGCGGCCAGCCGAGTTTGCGAACGCGGCGGCGTGGGCGCTCGG